TTAGAGGCCTCCTGATACGCGCGATCTTTCGGATCACTCGTGAGAACACTCACCACCCACCACCCACCCCGCAACCAAGGAGGAAAGAAAGAAAGCAAACGGGCAAACCATCAAACTCATCAAACTAAGCAAACAAGGCCCCCCTTTTTCTCAAAAGAGGAAAAGAAGAAGAAAAATTCTTCCTCGGTCTACTTTAAACCACCAAGCTGACAGGCGTGTTACAGAATAGCTAGCTATTGTACAAGCAGCTACTGTAGCTAGCTACAGTAGCCGGTCAGATCTTGTCCAGCCGTGGCGCTCGTGGAAACTTGCTGCCACCGGTAGATGTGACCGCTAGATCATTTACGGGTTAACTTAGAGACAAAAAACCGTCGGCTCGGTCCCTCGGCTTGACTGCTGCGCTGTGCGATTGCCGGGGATGTGACCGTAGCTTCCTCGGCTTTATCATTTAACGCCCGGCGGTGAGATTCCTCTTCTTGATTGTACCGTATGTAAGGAGCTAAGGAAGAAATTAACTGGGGGGGGCAATGGAGGAGGGGGGTTCTCACTTTGCCTTCTGGAGAAAAAGGTGGGAGAAGGAGCGGAAGAAGAAGCTAAATCGTGTTGAAACACTGGACACGTTTTGAAGATTCAACTGGTCCCTCCCTCCCTTCAATGCTAACTCTGCTCATCAGAGAAGACCAGCACAGTGCACCATCCTATCAGTACCAGTTGCAAAAATCCAAGCGCTCAACCAGCAAGCAATCAAGCAAGCAAGCAATCCAATGCAAGGAGCTCACTCTCTCACAATAAATGATGGACGTGGGGAAGGGGAAGAGGAAATGATAGGATATTATAATCACGTGTTATCGCATCATCCATCAGTGATACTAGATATGATCCCATATCCGATGATAACTGTCATCGCGGCCGTAACCCAGTGTCCAATGCGATACTTGAGCACGGTTACTTTACAGTACTGTACTCGTACTCACGCCCAATGCACACCCTGCAAGTGCGATATCATAAATTGGAGAAAAGGATAAAGTGAAGGAAGGGAAGAAGAAATGAAAAAAAAAAAAACATCATTGTGCATTCTTAGTTTTTCCAAAAGTAGTCACCCGTTTTGGTTTGTGGATGGAGGGGTTTTTTTCTTTCACTTTTTCATTTCACTTCTTCACTCTTCATTAATTTTATCATACTTTATTCATTTCATTTATTTTTCTACCTCACCGCTTGCCCTTCCCTTCTATTCCATCAGTGCTAACCTTATTGGTATACGGCCGCTTGAATCTAAATAGAAATCGGGAAGAAAAGGGCAGGATGGGGGCGAGAGAAAAATTTAGCTTTTTTTTTTCCCTCTCCCTCTCTCTCGTTTGAAAAAAAAAAATTTAAAAAAAAAACTGCATTAAATTTTGATGAACAAGCTAGGCACTTTTAGTTACATGATATCGGTATGCGCATACACATACCTCAAACAAACTCCTATGAACCATTACACAAGATAGGAAGAGTGAAGCAGCAAGACACAGGAAAGACAAAAAAGTATAGAAGGAAAAAAAAAAAAACTAACTTTACAATCACTCCCTCATAATATCATAGTTGTTGTCGTGCTTCACGTGTAGCGACCTTAGATGACCGTAATCAGTATCACTTCAGTCGTTTGAAAAAACACCTGCTGAAAATAACATACAAGAAAAAAAGTGTAAAAAGAAATAGGAGAAACAAGACATGATGTTGCAAACGCCAGAATGCGGGTGAGAAAAGGAGGGGGGGGAAACACCCCCAAGCCCACAAAATGTGAAAGAAAGAAACTTCAAAACTTTTAGTCTGCTTTTATCGGACAACAATTCTGAGGGGCTTGAATTTCCCTCCAACAGCTCTGCATTCGCCGCAGCTTCCCCTTCTTCCACCTCCACACGTCTACAGCCAGAAAC